CCCCCCCCCCCCCGTTGGTTCACTTTACTTCCCTGTAAGCTAGCCACCCTTCCCTCCCCCCTTCGAGCACCGCTTGCAGAGGCAATAAAGTCATTGTTACTTCACATTCATGCATTCTTTATTAATTCATCACACAACTAGGGGAATAACTGCCAAGGTAGCCCGGGAGGGGTGGGGGAGGAATGAAGGACAAGGACACACTGCAGTTTAAAACTTTAAAACTTTAACTCTTATTGAAGGCCAGCCTTCTGATGCTTGGGCAATCATCTGGGGTGGAGTGGCTGCCCCCCCCACACCGCGTTCTTGGGCGTCTGGGTGAGGAGGCTATGGAACTTGGGGAGGAGGGCTGTTGGTTACACAGGGGCTGTAGCGGCGGTCTCTGCTCCTGCTGCCTTTCCTGCAGCTCAACCATACGCTGGAGCATATCAGTTTGATGCTCCAGCAGCCGGAGCATCGACTCTTGCCTTCTGTCAGCAAGCTGATGCCACCTATCCTCGTCAGCCCGCCACTTGCTCTCTTCAGCCCGCGATTCACCTCTCCTCTCGTTCATATTGTGCTTTTCTGCACTCTGACATTGACTGCCTCCACGCATTCTGCTGTGCTCTGTCAGCGTGGGAGGCAGTCTGTAGTTCTGTAAACATTTCATCACGCGTCCTTCGCTTTCACTTTCGAATCTTCACTAGCCTCTGCGAAGGAGAAACATTTGCTGCTGGTGGAGGAGAAGAGAGAGGTGGTTAAAAAGACACATTTTAGAGAACAATGGGTACACTTTTTCATGTTAAATGTTGCTGTTCACATTACACAGCACATGTGCTTTCGTTACAAGGTCGCATTTTTCCTCTTATATTGAGGGCCTGCCGGTTTGGTGTGAGAGATCACTCACACAGTGCCAGGCAACAGAATTCGGCTTGCAGGCAGCCATGATAAGCCACAGTCTTTTGGTTTTTTTAACCTTCATAACATGTGGGAATGATTTCAAACAGCAGTGCCCTCATTTCCCATACCAAGCACCCGTTGGGTTGGCCATTTAAAATGGGTTTGCAATGTAAAAGGAGGGGCTGCGGTTTCAGGGTTAACATGCAGCACAAACCCAACTAACCCCCCTTCCCTCCCCCCCCCAATTCTCTGGGATGATCATTTCACCCCTCCCCCCCACCGCGTGGCTAACAGCGGGGAATATTTCTGTTCAGCCAAGCAGGAACAGGCACCTCTGAATGTCCCTTTAATAAAATCACCCCATTTCAACCAGGTGACCGTGAATGATATCACTCTCCTGAGGATAACAAAGAGACATAAGGAATGGATGTTGTCTGCATGCCAGCAAACACCGGGACCATACACTACCATGCTTTGTTATGCAATGATTCCAGACTACGTGCTACTGGCCTGGCGTGGTAAAGTGTCCTACCATGGCGGACGGGATAAGGCAGCCCTCCCCAGAAAGGCTTTGGGAGTACATGAAGGAGAGCTTTCTGGAGATGTCCCTGGAGGATTTCCGCTCCATCCCCATACACGTTAACAGACTTTTCCAGTAGCTGTACTGGTCGCGATTGCCAGGGCAAATTAATCATTAATCATTAAACACGCTTGCTTTTAAATCATGTGTAATATTTACAAAGGTACACTCACCAGAGGTCCCTTGTGCGCCCTCAGGGTCTGGGAGCACGCCTTGGGTGAGTTCGGGGGTTACTGGTTCTAGGTCCAGGGTGATAAACATATCCTGGCTGTTGGGGAAACCGGTTTCTCCGCTTCCTTGCTGTGAGCTATCTTCATTGTCTTCATCATCATCTTCCTCGTACCCCGAACCCGCTTCCCTGTTGCGTGCTTCTCCATTGATGGAGTCAAAGCACACGATTGGGGTAGTGGTGGCTGCACCCCCTAGCATGGCATGCAGCTCCGCGTAGAAGCAGCATGTTTGCGGCTCTGCCCCGGACCTTCCGTTTCCCTCTCTGGCTTTGTGGTAGGCTTGCCTTAGCTCCTTAATTTTCACGCGGCACTGCTGTGTGTCCCTGTTATGGCCTCTGTCCTTCATGGCCTTTGAGACTTTTTCTAATATTTTGCCATTTCGTTTACTGCTACGGAGTTCAGCTAGCACTGATTCGTCTCCCCATATGGCGAGCAGATCCCGTACCTCCCGTTCAGTCAATGCTGGAGCTCTTTTGCGATCCTGGGACTCCATCATGGTTACCTGTGCTGATGAGCTCTGTGTGGTCACCTGTGCTCTCCACGCTGGGCAAACAGGAAATTAAATTCAAAAGTTCGCAGGGCTTTTCCTGTCTACCTGGTCAGTACATCTGAGTTGAGAGTGCTGTCCAGAGTGGTCACAATGAAGCACTGTGGGATAGCTCCCGGAGGCCAATAACGTCGAATTCTGTCCACACTACCCCAAATCCGACCCAGAAAGGCCGATTTCAGCGCTAATTCCCTCGTCGGAGGTGGAGTAAAGAAACCTGTTTAAAGGGCCCTTTAAGTCGAAAAAAAGGGCTTCATCGTGTGGACGTGTCCAGGCTTAATTCGATGTAACGCTGCTAAATTCGACCTAAACTCGTAGTGTAGACCAGGCCTGTGTGTGTGTGTATGTGTCTGAAGCATTGGGATCAGATTCTGTGCAGGGTTATTCACTGGTCCCCCAGATTTGGAGGGGATCAGCCCCACTAGTCCCCTGATCCTGTGTGTGAGAATCTGTCCCACGGGGTCATAATGATGCTGCTACTCTTCCCATAGCCAATGGAAGATGAACAAACTCACTGTCTCTCCCCTGCACTTCCCAGGGCAAGTCCTATCCTATGTTGTCTATGACCCCACTGCCATCTCCGAAATGGACAAATGTCTCATGCCTGGCTCTGCCTAAATCACTAGTGGCCAAATGTGCTTCCCCTCCATCTTGCCCATGTTCTACCTCGGCCAGCTGTGTTAGCAGGACACCCCATATGTTCTAGACTCTCTTCAGTGTCCTTTCCTGGCTGTGGCTGATCTCTGTGAAGTGCTGGTTCCTCACAGTGTGAGGGGCTGGGGCTGAGAGAGGGTTCATGGGGTACTTTATGGTCCAGGAGAACTCTGTGGGGTAGATCGCTACAGTAGAAAAGAGAGGAGGGCTGGTCTTTGGTCCACGCACTGCACTGGGACTCAGGACTCTGCGATGGCAGAGCAGGTCTCCTGGGTGATGGGAAAGGGTTGACTGACCATTGATCAGTATGGGGATGGTGGCCTACTGCTAGTGGCCCCATGAGTGGCCCTACTGCTAGTGGCCCCATGAGTGCTACTGTGGCCCCATGAGTGGAGGCTCTTTGCTCTGCACTGTAGGCAGGAGTGTGGTGATTTTCTACATTCCACCTTCAATGCATGGTAGCAGGGTCCACATGGCTAGTCAATACCCAAAGGCTAATGTGCTGTGCATTCACCCTCTGGCTTGCCAGGCATTAACTGACCATGTAGACAAGCCCTCTGTAATATCTCTGGCTTGCGTTCTGGAGGAATATGGATATAGGTGTTGGGGGCAGGGTGGGAATAGGAGGGGAGGGAATAACTGGCAGTGACAGAGGTGTATCCTAGTGAGCAACTCTTCTCAGCTCCCCAGGGGAATGTTAGGGCATTCTCTAGGCAGAGTGGAACACCAGTGCATCACGGGATCTTGTATGATTTATAGCCCAGTAGAGTGGAGGAAGGGAGAAGGATCCCCTCTGGGTTTTGTTAGAGTGGGGGAGGGATAGCTTAGTGGTTTGAGCATTGGCCTGATAAACCCAGGGTTGTGAGTTCAATCCTTGAGGGGGCCATTTAGGGATCTGGGGCAAAAATCTGTCTCGGGATTGGTCCTGCTTTGAGCAGGGGGTTGGACTAGATGACCTCCTGAGGTCCCTTCCAACCCTGATATTCTATGATTCTATGCTGGCTCTGGAAGTACTGACCTCAATGAACAAGATCAGCACTTGTTTCCCTGTCTCCCCAAACAGAATTCCTGAATTCCCAACCTGACATGATCTCCTGGCTGGAAGAAGGGGAGGAGCCATGGGTCCCAGATCTCCAGGGCTCTGAGGAAAGGGAGATCTTGAGAGATGCCCACACAGGTGAGGAATCAGCTAAACTGACTCACAAACCAATTTCTCTATCCTCATGACAGACGTTAGTCATGAGTTTTCACCAGTCCTGTCTGACCTGTTAGCCCCTCTCCACATCAGTATTGAAATAGGGTGAGGAGACAGAAATGATCACCTCCTTTCTCTCCTGTTGGGAAGGTTTGAGGGGAGAGCCAGTACTGATTCTACAATCTCCTCAGCAGTTATTTGGGTTTCTTCCCCCTTTCCTGTTCCCCTCTCTGAGGTTCCCTTCCCCCCCAGCACAGGGAGTGACTCCTGTCTGGATTCTCTCTCTGTCACAGCAGGTGATGGGATGGTGAGTGAGAGCGAGGAGGCGAACCCTCAGCAGGAAGGTATCAGGAAGCAACTACATTGGACGGTATCAGGAAGAGCTGATGGGGATGTTTTCAAGAGTCCTGAGTGTAAAAGGGCCCCTGAGAATCAGTGCAGGCCAGACCGGTATCATGGAAATGACCAAGAAGAGAGACAGGGTAAATCCAGTCACTTGAGCAGAGTAGTCGAGAAAATAAAATACACTATTCAGCAGAGAGTCCCCACTGCAGAAAGACCCAACACGTGCAGCAACTGTGGGAAAAAATTCCTTTGGAGGTCAGCCCTTATCATTCATGAGAGAATCCACACAGGAGAAAAAACATATAAGTGTCCTGACTGCGAGAAAAGCTTCAGCCAGCGCTCAGACCTCACCAAACATCAGAGAGTCCACACAGGAGGGAAGCCTTACAAATGTCTTGAATGCGGGAAAAGCTTCAGTTGTAGTTCAACCCTCACTGCACACCAGCTAATCCACATGGGAGAAAGACCTTATAAATGCCACGAATGTGGAAAAAGCTTCAGTGATAGATCCACCTTCAGTACGCACCAGAGAATCCATACAGGAGAGAGACCCTATAAATGCCTGACCTGTGGGAAAAGTTTCAGGGATCGGTCAACCTTTAATAAACACCAGAGAATCCACACGGGAGAGAAACCACATAAATGCCCCAAGTGCGGGAAAAGTTTCCGTCAGCTCGCACAACTCGTTAGACACAAGAGACTCGACACAGGAGAGAGACCCCATAAATGCCTGACCTGTGGGAAAAGCTTCCAGGATAGATCCACCTTTAATGAACACCAGAGAATCCACACGGGAGAAAAACCTTATAAATGCCCAGAGTGTGGGAAAAGCTTCAGGCACAGCTCAACCTTTATTAGGCGTCAGAGAATCCACAGGGGACACAAACCCTAGGATTGGGATGGGCAAAGTGAATAATATCTTTGCTGATTCCAACTAACCCCAGAGGGTCAGGTCAGGCCAGGCCAGAGGGGCCATGTACTGGGGACATGCTCAAGTTATTAAAGCATTGAATGAAATCATCTTTCTGGAACAGTGTCATGCAGAGCAAGTTTCCCATGCTGGGATGGTATTTGATTATTAATTCTCAAGGAGCTCTGAAGATCATCCTATAATCTAGGCGTTCTCTTTGCTATATCTTGACTTCAGTAAGACTTTTGATATTGTCTCACATGACCTTCTCATCAACAAACTAGGTAAATACAACATAGATGGAGCTACTATAAGGTGGGCGCATAACTGGTTGGAAAACCATTCCCAGAGAGTAGTTATCAGTGTTTCACAGGCAAGCTGGAAGGACATAACGAGTGGGGTCCTGCAGGGATCACTTCTGCATCCAGTTCTGTTCAATATCTTCATCAATGATTTAGATAATGGCACAGAGAGTACACTTATAAAGTTTGCAGATGATACCAAGCTGGGAGGGGCTGCAAGTGCTGTGGAGGATAGGATTAAAATTCAAAATGATCTGGACAAACTGGAGAAATGGTCTGAAGTAAATAGGATGAAATTCAATAAGGACAAATGCAAAGTACTCCACTTAGGAAGGAACAATCATTTGCACACATACAAAATGGGAAATGACTGCCTAGGAAGGAGTACTGCGGAAAGGGATCTGGGGGTCATAGTAGAGCACAAGCTAAATATGAGTCAACAGTGTAACGCTGTTGCAAAAAAGGCTGAACATCATTCTAGGATGTATTAGCAGGAGTGTTGTAAGCAAGACACGAGAAGTAATTCTTCTGCTCTTCTCTGCACTGATTAGGCCTCAGTTGGAGTATTGTGTCCAGTTCTGGGCACCACATTTCAGTAAAGATGTGGACAAATTGGAGAAAGTCCAGAGAAAAGCAACAAAAATGATTACAGGTCTAGAAAACATGACCTATGAGGGAAGATTGAAAAAAAAAATGGATTTGTATAGTCTGGAGAAGAGAGGTGACAACCGTTTTCAAGTACATAAAAGGCTGATACAAGAAGGAGGGAGAAAAATTGTTCTCCTTAACCTCTAAGGATAGGACAAGAAGCAATGGGCTTAAATTGCAGCAAGGGCAGTTTAGGATGGATATTAGGAAAAACTTCCTAACTGTTAAGGTAGTTAAGCACTGGAATAAATTGCCTATGGAGGTTGTAGAATCTCCATCATTGGAGATCTTTAAGAGCAGATTGGACTGACACTTGTCAGGAATTGACTAGATAATACTTAGTCCTGCTATGAATGCAGGGGACTGGACTAGATGACCTCTCGAGGTCCCATCCAGTTCTATGGTTCTATGATTCCTCACTGCTGCTGAACTCTCAGCATCTCTGAGTAACACTTTCTCTAATTCCTGGTTGGCAAGGAGATTCCATCCCATCCTGGTGGACAAAGACCTGGCCTCAATTATTTATATATTTCTCACCACTTGACTGGACTACATCACTACGATGTACCTGGGTATGAAACTATCCGTGCTTAGGAAACTCCAACTAGAGAGCACTGCAGGATGTCTCCCCAGCAACACAGCTGACAGCGAGCATATCACACCCATCGTTGCTCTCTGCGCTGGCTTCCCATAGAATATTGAATCAAGTTCAAGGACTTGGTCTTTATCCATGGAGCTCCAAGACTGCCTTAAGTTCTTGGATGAAGACCAGGTTTGAAAACTTCACTCTTTTGGCACAATGGAACTCTCAACCATAAGGGTAAAGCTCATCTGTTGAGGAGACAGGACTTCCTCATTGGCTGGTCTGTGACTGTGGAATGAACTCCTCAAGGAATGAAGGATCCTCTCAGACCTCTCCACCTTCCACGCCAAGTGCCAGGCATGCTTCTTTGACCTGCCTTCTTTAACGTAAATACATAATGGCATGTATATAAAAAAAAAAAAACCCAAAACTTCCAGTGAGCAGGATCTCATCCTATAGAGAGGATAGGAAAACAAATGGCACATGGCAGATGCTAAGTTATGCAATTAATACACTGCTGGAAAGTGCTCAGATACTACAGTGGTGAATGCAGTATTGGAACAGACCGCCACATCTGCTATATCATTAAGGTTAAACCCAAGTCTCTGTTTAAACCTTGACCCTTCTCAGTGCTCTAAAATCTGCACTGTTAATTGGATTGCCTTGAAACATGGCATGCCTCCTCAGGACACAGGGTGGGGTTACTGATCCAAACTTGGGGTCATTTGACCAAAAGGTTTCCAAAATATTGCCCACACCCCTTCCAAACAAACCAACCAACTAACTTTGCTGAAGGTTCATGGATTCTACCAACTTTTTTTTTTACTTTTTGCACAGAGCTAGAGATCAAACCAGGGCTCTAATTCTGGCACAAGAGTCTCAGTTGCTCTGGTGTTACTCCCAGAGAGTTCATGGACCACCCCACCCTTGGAGAGAAGCAAAATTGAAAATGGCATGAGGTTAGCTCTCAAGGACGGTGTGACTTGCCCTCACACACCAAAGGGATCACACTGGGCATGTGCTGCCTGGGAAGTCAAAAGGGTTGCTAGCCAGCTACAGCTCACCAGTTCTCTGTGGCTCAAGAGCCAATGTTCTGGCTATTGCTCCTGAATCACACATGGACACTTGAAATTCAACTCCATCATGGGCAGAAATCTGAATGGAAACAAAGGAGGCATCTTCCTACAATCTGCCTCTGTCAGATAGGGTAGTAGTATTATTTTGGAGAATTGTAATGTGAATGTAGCATAAAATTTAGAAGCTGCTTATGCTGTTTTTGAAAAGAAAATAAATTACACATGTGAATGATTGCTGGGAGGGGAGGAGCATTGAGGGCGGAAGAGGGGGGCAATAGGGAGAGGAGTTTGGGACTGCAGGGAGGGGAGGAGGGATATTTGAGGGTGGGTAGTAGAGGAGCTTGCTTGGGGGGCTCAGGTCAGGGTGAGAGGATGGGGATTAGGTGGAGTGGAAGGGGAGAGGAAGGGTGAGGTGAAGGAGGGTGGCAGAGCAGGAGGCATGGAATAGGGGTAGGGGCATTTGACCTGTCAGCCCTACTGTCTCCAGTCCCATGTGTTTTCCAGGAGTCTTTACCTCTCTGGGGTGTCTGAGCCTCTCTCCATACCCCTGTGTGTGTGCCAGGATCTTGGGATCCCTGGCCCCTCTGGGGGAGTCTGAGTCCTTTTCTCTGCCTACTTTATGTAAGCTAGGATCTGGAGAGGGTCTTTATCTCTGGAGGGAGGTCTGAGCCAGTCTCCCATGCAATGCTACCCCTATGAGCTGGCATCCCTGCCCTCTGGGTGGGGAGCTGAGAACAGGCATGCTGGGAGCATGTATCAGCTCTGCTAGCAACTGCACATTACAAGTATTTCAGAGCATGACCATTCTCCCCATTCCACAATATTTAAATGTATGGTGGATGGGGGCACTAAGGTTTCATGTAGCACCTAGTGGAGAGACCACTGGACCAGGACTCAGAAACCCTGGGCTCTATTCCCAGTTCTGCCACAGGCCAATGGGATGACTGTGGCCACATCACCTCACATCTCTTTGTCTCAGTTTCCCTGTGTGTACAATGGCGATTATGCTGTTTGATCTACTGATGAAAAGGGCAATGTGAAGTTAGGTGGTATCATCATTACCTGTTCACAACAGTGTCTGAGTGCCATACCTACATGATAATTACAGCTGCCTAACTGTCCACTAACTCCTCTTCTTGTAAAAAAAAAAAAAAAACCAAGCAATCCCGGGGTGACCAAAAAACAAGAGTGAAAAATCGGGACAGGGGGGGGGGGTAGTAGGTGCCCATATAAGACAAAGCCCCAAATACAACTCTACCCCGATATAATGCGACCCAATATTACACGAATTTGGATATAACACAGTAAAGCAGTGCTCCGGGTGGGGGGAGCGGCTGCGCACTCCGGCAGATCAAAGCAAGTTCAATATAACGCGGTTTGACCTATAATGCGGTAAGATTTTTTTTGGCTCCCGAGGACAGCGTTATATTGAGGTAGAGGTGTATCAGAACTATCCCTATAAAATGGGGACATCTGGTCACCCTAGGCAAGCCACTGACTTTTAAAAGCTTTGTTAATGCAGAGTTAAAGACACTCAGTGGTATCTCGTGCCTTTCAGGACATCCAGTTCAGCAAAACTCAAACCTCTGAAAACCAGGACATGAAGAGTTAAGGCATTTCAGACTCAAACCAGGAAGTACACAGTTAGCATATATATATATATATATATATAAATATATATAAAGATATACCACGTCAAGATATATCTTGACTTTACCAAAGCTTTTGATATGGTCTCCCACAGTATTCTTGCCAGCAAGTTAAAAAAGTATGGATTGGATGAATGGACTATAAGGTGAATAGAAAGCTGGTTAGATTGTTGGGCTCAATGGGTAGTGATCAACGGCTCAATGCCTAGCTGGCAGCCGGTATCAAGCAGAGTGCCCCAGGGGTTGGTCCTGGGGCCGATTTTGTTCAACATCTTTATTAATTATCTGGATGATGGGATGGATTGCACCCTCAGCAAGTTTGCAGATGATACTAAGTTGGGGGGAGAGGTAGATATGCTGGAGGATAGGGATAGGGTCCAGAGTGACCTAGACAAATTGGAGGAGTGAGCCAAAAGAAATCTGATGAGGTTCAACAAGTACAGAAGAATCCCGTGCACTGCTGCAGGATGGGGACTGACTGGCTAAGCAGCAGTTCTGCAGAAAAGGACCTGGGGATTAAAGTGGACGAGAAGCTGGATCTGAATCAGCAGTGTGCCCTTGTTGTCAAGAAGGCTAACAGCATATTGAACTGCATTATTTGGAGCATTGCCAGCAGATCGAGGGAAGTGATTGTTCCCCTCTATTTGGCACATAGAGGCCACATCTGGTGCATTGCATCCAGTTTTGGGCCCCCCACTACAGAAGGGATGTGGACAAATTGGAGAGAGTCCAGCGGAAGACAACAAAAATGATCAGGGGGCTGGGGCATATGACTGACGAGGGGAGGCTGAGGGAACTGGACTTGTTTAGTCTGTAGAAGAGAAGAGTGAGGGCGGATTTGATAGCAGCCTTCAACTACCTGAAGGGGGGTTCTAAAGAGGATGGAACTCGACTGTTCTCAGTGGTGGCAGATGACAGAACAAGGAGCAATGGTCTCAAGTTGCAGTGGGGGAGGTCTAGGTTGGATATTAGGAAACACTATTTCACTTGGAGTGTGGTGAAGTACTGGAATGCGTTACCTAGGGAGGTGGTGGAGTCTCCTTCCTTGGAGGTTTTTAAGGCCCGGCTTGACAAAGCCCTGGCTGGGATGATTTAGTTGGTGCTGGTCCTGCTTTGAGTAGGGGGTTGATGACCTCCTGAGGTCTCTTCCAACCCTAATCTTCTATGATTCTATGATCCCCGTCTACTATAAACTGGTGTCTCTCCACGTGAATCAATGAGGGCAGAGCCCCACCTGGTGTAAATTGATTCCAGTGTAGCAACATCAATGAGGTTAGATTCCCAACTGGTGTAAATTAGCCACTCTTCATTGGAGTCAATGGCTCACATCCCCAGGTTGTATAAATCCGTGTCACTCCATTGAGTCAGAGGCACTAGATCCCAGATAGTGTAAACAGACCATCACTGCAGTGGATTCGGCAGAGCTGGGCTGATTGACACCAGATGGATATCTGGCCATTTGGTTTGTAATCAGCCCCTGCAGCAGGGATGTAAAACAAAGCCATTGTGTCCATCATACCCCAGCTATCTTGCCTTTAGTAAGGCTTTTGGTCTCCCATGACCTTCTCATAAACAAACTATGGAAATGCAACCTAGATGGAGCTAAAATAAGATGGGTGCAAAACTAGTTGGAAAACAGTTCCAACAGTAGTTATCAGTGATTCACAGGCTGAAAGGGCATAACGAGTGGGGTTCTCCAGGGATCTGTTCTGGATATGTTTCTATTCAAAATCTTAATCGATGATTGAGATAATGGCATAGAGAGTACACTTATAAAGTTTGTGAATGATAACCTAGGAAGGAATACTGTGGAAGGGATCCAAGGGTCCTAGTGGACCACAAGCTGAATATGAGTGAACAGTGTAATGCTGCTGCAAAAAAACCCAGAACATCACTCTGGGATGTCCGCTCTACTCTGCGCTGATTAGGCCTCAACTGGAGTACTGTGCCCAGTTCTGGGTGCCACATTTCAGGAAAGATGTGGACAAATTGGAGAAAGTCCAGAGAAGAAAAAAAAAGGTACTGTCTAGAAAACATGACCTATGAGGGAAGATTGAAACATGATAACAGTTTTCAAGTATGTAAAAATTAAGTAGCATCTTACAATCTATACGGATCAGTAACTGCTACAGATAGCACTTTTCTACACGTAGCAATTTCACATATACTATAGTGCAAGAAACTGCTACCTGTGGGCATTTGCTACATCAGGTAGCAGTTTACTACAATAGCAGTTTACTACAATCCATACCTATCAATAACTGCTACTGGTAGCACATTACCACGTGGAGCAGTTTACTACACTACAACCAGGGAGGGGATTTCAGTAGCTGTGGCCACCAGAGGGCCCTGGCTGTTGCTAAGGGAGGGCTGGCGGCTCTCTGTGTTTCTCTTTGCCAGGTGTATCAGTACGAAATGCAACCCTCCCCTTTTGCAACTGGATGCGGTTTCTGCCATGCAGCGTTGCAGTTTGTGAAACAGTTTGTTAACTTGCTACCGCCTGTCCATGGGGTTGCGAATCAGGAGGGATGGGGTATGTGGTCAAAAACAATCCCGATCTGCTTCCTGA